AAAATAAAACCTTGAGCAGAATGGGTAGAACTCAACTCACAGAAAATTCCTGAGAGGAGAGATTGATGTAAGCTTCTGTGATTCTCTGAAGTAGATGCGGCCTGTCTCTTACCAAAACTTCTGTCCTGAATGAGGGTGATGACTGCTAGGCATAGCTGTAACAGACCAACCTTCAAGATCTCAGGGGCTAGATATCATAAATGTTGATTTCTCATTCACGTAAAGTAGCATGTAAGTTCAACAATCCTCCTCCATCTTATAACTACACCCTCTGGAAAATGTAGCTTTCCAAAGTCTCCAGAGCAAGGAAGAGACATGGAGGGGGCACCAGCTGCCTGCCTACCTCTCCTAGGAGGGACACACCTCACCTCTTCTCACACTGACTGGCTAAAACCTGGCTTCCCTCTAACTACAGATGGGATAGGGGAATTACAGAGCAGCTGAGGAGCAGCTGGCTAGTACCGACAGTCTCTTCTCTGTCATAGGTTCTTTTTTGCATTCCAATGTGAACACTTACTTTTGAATGAATAGAGTAGCTAGGAGTTTCCCTTTCCATTTGTGTAGCACTTAGCACTCATAGTCATCACTCTCACCCACATCGTGCCACTAGATCTTCATGACATGCCCACTATTCCCACTGATGATAGTGTGAGTACTGCAGTACACACTACAAATGGGAAGAAAGGCTCAGAGAAGTTGAGTTCATTGGTTTTCCAAAGGGTTCGGGCTTGATAAAGAGTAGATCCAGGTCTAGGGTCTAAATCTTTGATGCTGTAGTCTGGGAAAGGGAGAGATCATTCTGACTTTGGGACTTTTTTGGCCTTCATAGCTCCTCTACTTTGGCTCTTCTGTTGCTCTGTGGGATTGATTAGTTTTTGGTATGGTTAACTCCACTCTGGTAAAGAACCACAAAAAATAAAGCATGCCTCCTGTTTCATTCACAAAACTCATTATCATAGCCACGCAGAGCCAAAACACTGTCTTTGGTAAGTCTGTGATCACTCAGCAACTTATTTCTTCATAATTGATTCTCAAGCCCACTACCTGGGTTCCCCAGTTGAGTTGAGTCCATTCTTTTGAGGCTATTCGTTCCATGCCTATCAGGTTATTCAACAGCTAATGTTTATATCTGAGAAGAGAGAAGATATACAGGATATTTACCTAAAGCTCAAACGAGTCTTCAATTCCTGGTTATAATTCTACTTCACATCTTTCTTCCGTTCTGCTAGACCTGGCATCCACTTCCAAGAGATCACAAGGCTGTCTTGCCCACACTTCCTGAAGAAGGCTGGCATGGAACGGGTAGTGAGCCTTTCAGGCAGCTGGGCCAGAGTCCGCTGGGGCTGCTGGCTTCCCTCAGCACAGTGGGCAGCATGGAGGTCAAGACGAGGTCACGTTGGGAACTTTCACTCCCTCAGGTCCATCTTAAGACATCCTCAGGCCTTATCATCCCACTGTCCTTCCCAGCCAGTGCTCATCCATTTGCTCCTACTCTCCCAAGCTATTCCACACTGACCTAACTGAATTACACACATGGTCTTCAGTGTTTGAAAGGACAATGACTTCAAGCCTTTGCTTTGGGATGTGGATCAGCCTTTGACTGCAAAAGGTGCTTTCACTTAATGGCTAACATGTTGCATGTGTATGATATGTGAAGCCCTGTTCTAAATACTTTAAATGTATTTACTTATTCAGTACCCCCCATGAGGTGGGTACTCTCAGTTTCATTGTACATATGGGGGAAAGTGAAGTACAAAGAGATTAAGTCACTTGTCTAAAGTCACACAACTAAAGCAGAATTTGGATCAAGCAGTTTAACTCCAGGGTCCCTACTTTTAGCCCACTTCAGTGAAGTTTTTCTATGAAAGCAAATTCTATTTGTCCACCTTTGTGGGGTTGGCAGGAAGCACCAAGATAAACTGCCAGCTGGGCAGGACAATATTAGTCTTCCTATGAGTAGAACAGTTGATCAGCAATGGGACTGTATGATTTGCATATCAAGGGGCTGGAGCTGCTAACCCCAGTTCTTGGAACTGGGGCAGGCCAGGGTGATGCAATGGGGACTTCAACCTCCCTGAGGCAGGGGAAGAGGAAGTAGTCTGGCTTGCTCTGAATCCCGTGAGTCCCATCTGAACCCTTAAGGTCACTCCTGAGCCTTGGTGGAGTTTCCAGTCCTTTCTCCCTCCTAGAGGAGCCACTTCATGTTTTAGTAACTCTTCATCACCCACCCTGCCGGCTCATGAAGCAGCATCAAGAAGAAGGTGCGCGGCCTGGAACCTACCTTGGCAGCTGCATGTTTACAGCTATGGAGCTGAGCTGGTGTAACTTGTTAGCAAAGAAAAGAGCAAAAATAGGCCAGGCACGGTGGCTCACACCTGTAATCTCAGTACTTTGGGAGGCCGAGGTAGGTGGATCACTTGAGGTCGGGAGCTCAAGACCAGCCTGGCCAACGTGGTGAAACCCCATCTCTACTAAAAAATAACAAAAGTTAGCCGGGCATGGTGGTGGGCGCCTGTAATCCCAACTACTCAGGAGGCTGAGGCAGGAGAATAGTTTGAACCCTGGAGGTGGAGGCTGCAGTGTGAGCTGAGATTGCGCCACTGCACTCCAGCCTGGGCGACAGAGGGAGACCCTGTCTCAAAAAAATAAATAAAAGCAAAAATAAAAGCATCCCATTTATCATTTATTGATCTTAATCGAATCCTGACATAAGATGATCTGCCCGCCTCGGCTTCCCAAAGTGCTGGGATTACAGGCATGAGCCACCACACCCCGGATCTTAATTGGGTGCCGATTGCCTTGAAAATATTCCAGCCACAGATTTGACCATTTCACATGCCAACATGATAAAGCTGTTCATTGTTCCCAGGTTTGGTCATCCTGGTTGCTTAATCTAGCAATGTTGACTTAAAATGACTAGACAGCCCACAGTGATTGCCCCTGGCTCAGGGTCACACTGGGCCCTGTAACTTCTCATTTTACGTCATCCAAGGATAAGACTCCAGTACAACTGTAGTAGATGTTTGCAATGAAAATGAGCCCTTTGCTGAGATGTTCCTCTGAATTGAGTTGCAAGTTGGTCAAAGCTGGCCAGAGTGCAGCTGTAAAGGGAGCTTTGTAGTCTCCTTCTGTTCCTGTGTTGAATTGGAACCAAAGCTAAGGGAACCACCCTGGGCTTTATCCCATCCCTGCCTCTTTACCTCCATTGCCCTGTCAACTGTTCTTTCCCTCCTCCTGCTTCCTGACTCTTTACTCCCCAGTGGAGTAAATTGGTTCTGCACTCTCTCTCCCTGCACCACTTGATTCTTAGAGCCCAATTGTTATATAGCAAGGTTTTCTGACCACAAAGATGGCATACAATTTTGATTTGCCTATTTATTTTATAGGCTCTTTTAGAGCCTAGAAATGGCAGTCACTTTTCCCATGTGTTTCTGCGTCTTTGGCATCACCCTGTGTCAGCAGCACTGAGTGCCTAGGTGAGCCACCCTACCCTATGCTGCCCATGCCATCTAGGGGGCAAGATGTCACATGGGTAAGAGCCCTGGCTGGTAAGAGTAGTGGGCAGCCCTGGGGGCTGAATCCACACTTACTGAATGTTCTTGAGAAAAAGTAGTTCTTTCTCCATTTCAACTTTCTCATTTGTGAAATGGGAGTGAGAATAGCGCCTGCCTGCCTTCTGTTAATACTGCAGGGATTAACTGTGATAATGTATGTCAAGCGTTCGCTACAGGACTGGAACGCAGAAATGCTCAATCGATGTTGGCTATTATTATCGTCAGCTCTCCCACAGAGGGCTAAGGGAGGGTTGTTTGTGATGTCCATCTGAAAATGGACGGAGTGGGACACACGTGCTCTCCATGATGCCCATTCCTTTGGATGCCGATGCCGTGCCACTCCAATTTGGAGGGATTTCACTTTTCTAACTGGTTTCAGAACCTCCTCAGGAGACCTTATTCTTCTCCTAGGATGTTTTGAGTCCATCCTAACCCAACTGGCATACAGGATCAGTCTTAAGTTTGAGATTCTGCTGCTTTGACTGAATAACACAGGGAGCACACCCATCATCAGTACCTGCTGGGCCCCCTCTGGTTACTCATCATGCCTGTGGGCCAGTTCAGAGAAGAAAGGACATGTGTCAAGATGTTCAGTAGGGTCTGGCATGCCCAGGAATTTGAAGCCAATAGTAGAACCAAGAACCAAAGGCGTTTTCTTCCTAGATTAAGGTATCTGTGAAGAAGGTTTCTAGTAAAACAAGAGTCTCCATAGTCCTGTGTATTCTTACTGGAAAAGGCCTCAGTACTCCTATCCCCTTGCAACAGCCCTTCCAGATCGCTCAGGGCTGCCTTTCTCATGCCACCAAGGCAGTTCTTACCCCACAGAGGCGTCATTCTTCCAAGGCCTTGGACCACAGTTAGAAGAATTTAGGCTAGACAAAGTGAAGATTGTGTAGGTACTGAGTGTGGTCAGACATGCAAGTGGATTGCAGAGGGTGAGACAGGAATCTTCTTTGGATACATTTCAAATTAGAAACCAGGATAGTCTAGTAGTCATTTGACCTGACAGAGCCAGAAATAACTTAGATGACCTCTTGAGTTCTTATAGCCTTGTACTTGTGGCTAAAAGTGAACAGGGGGATATGGTCAGTTGGTCTCCCCTGATAGACACCAACCCACACTACTCCCACCATATAGAAAACCTCTATCACTCAAATTTTCTCCCTGTCCATCTCTGTACAACCTCCATGCCCTAGCACACCTATGTGCCTTCTCTGCATGCTCTCTCAATCCCAGGATTCCCTTCAGGCTCACATAGATCACTTGTCCCTCAAGTCACATACTTGACAGTATCTCATACCTGATTGCCCTTCACATTTCTCATGCTTATTCATACATGGAAAACAGGAGAGCTTTCTAAAGTTAAAATCAGCACAAGAAGTTCACAAGAAATATAAGCCCCCTTCTGATAATAGAGGATATGTGGATGAAAGAAAGCAGGATTCCTCAACTCCGTTCTTTTTTTTTTCTCAAGGAGAATGATTTTTGAGTTGAAACAAGTACAATACTCACTGATAAAAATGAATTGTAGCCCAAAGTTGATAAAGGGATTATACAAAGCATTCAATGAGAATAGGCAGAATTGCAGAACAATTATTGAAGCAGTAATTTATGAGCACTGGAAGTGGTGTTGATCATTAGGGCTGTGCAGGAGTTTATAAAGAACAGGTCTTACAGTCGAATCTCATTTTCTTCTCTGATGGTTCCTGGACTGGTCGATCAAGGATAGGTGAACGTTTTTGCATAGCTGAACTTCAGTGACATACATGACAAAGTCTCACCCCATTTCCTTGTGGCCAAGCTGTATTCAAGACACAATGATACCAAAAATGTGGCAATTAATAGATTAAGTGTCAGTCTGGAATAGTGGTTCTGCAACCTTGCATAACCCCTGTTCCCATTGGATTAACAGACAAATTTCAAGTCTTACATTAATCCTATTTGAGATTTCATACCATCAACATTATGACTAAACACAAAAATCAAACAGTGGGACAAAGGGCTACTTTGTTTTCAGGCTACTCATGCCCTCCCAGAAGATTCCGATATAGAAGAGCACGAGTTTAGAGAGTCAGTCATTCATTAAACTAATATTTATTGAGCACCTATTATATTTCAGGCATATTGTGGTTGCTGGAAAAACTAGAGTGAACAAGACAGCCAAAGATCCCTGCATTCATGGAATTTACATTCTAATCAAGACATGTTATATTGTTTACCCAAATTAACCAAGTGGTAAGGCAGCCCTGTGGTCTGTCTTCTTCATAACTGTATCCATGGCACCTGGCATATTGTAGGTGCTTAAGACCTATATGTTGTTGAATGATAAAATCAGAGCTGGGTGTCACACACACACTTTTTGACTCCAAAGATAACACTCTTTCATAGCTGTATGCCAGAACAAATTGAAGAAATAAACTGTACTTGGGTCTGAAAAAGCTCATTATATTGGGATGAGATGGAGACAATAGGTCTTGACAGCATGAGTGAAAATTAGGCAGAGGCAAAGAGAATAAATTCAATATAGTTATTCATCTGACAAATATTAGGATTTATCAGACCTTTTTCCAAGTGATAGGGCCAGAACAATGAGCAAGGAAGTCATAGCGCCTACCATTCTGGAGCTTAGAATCTAGCAAATACACAACGGTGCTGTGGCTGCCAAAAAAATATAAAATGCAATCTTAGCCTCAAGGATTATGAGTGTGATGTCTCAGCTTTGGGGAAGGATGAGCTCCACTGAGCTTTACCATGGTTAGGCTATGCCTAGAAAACTGAACTCAGCTCTAGATACCACCACAGAGAGATACAAAGCTGGATCATGTTCAGAGGAGAGTGAACTGAGTGATGAAGGGAGCAGAAACATGTAGCACAGCAAGTGAGGAGGTAATGGGTGAGTCTCTGGAGAAAAGGCAAGTGGACAGCATAACCACCTTCAAATATGTGAAAAGCTAATGTGATGGTTAGTATTTTTGCTTCCCAACTATTTCCAGCTCTCTGCCTCCTGAGCACAGACAGGTGAGGTCATATGAATAATTCTAGCTAACAAGTCCAGTGCAGAATGGTGTATAGTACTTGCAAGCCAGAACATTTCAGTGCTGGTGAGACACTCTTTCTCTTCCAGTGAACGGCAATGATGAGAGGTGGTGGCTGGGCTCTGACAGCCTGGGCCCCTGAGTGGTTAACATGAATAGGACCCCTAGCTTACCCTCAATGGACATTTTGAATGAGCAAGAAATACTAGTTGCTGTTATGGTTTTTATTACTGCTGTTTCATGCCACTGAGATTATGATCGGTGTTTGTCCCTGCAGCATAACCTAGCCTATCCTGACTGATATGTGTGCCATGTATGGAGGGACTAGTCTGGCAACATATGGCTCCCAGGGTTAGAACTAGGAGCACCTCAGGCTGCAGCAGGAGTTACTGAATTTGTTATGGAATAGCATAAATATGTACTTTTCCACCAAGGTCCCTAAATATGTAATAGACTTCCTTCGGAGGGAAGATCACTGGACATCTTCAGTCTACAACCCTCGGTGGGGATGATGGACCTGGACCTGAGGGCTCTCCCAACCCTGAGAGGCTAGCGTACCACAGTGTGGAATGGGCTTAGCAAGCACACTATTATTGTGGTGTTTGCCCTAGGGGGCCCACTGGGGCAGTCCTGAGTTGGCTCACCATCATGTTTCCACTGGCCACATGCCCAGGCCCCTGCTGCTCTCACTGTACCACACAGTCATGAATCTGTGCACAGCATTGCTAGGGGCTCGGCAGGGTGTACAAAAGGTACAGCAGCTCAGATGGCAATAAGATCAAATGAATGGCAAGGGTTCTCTTGGCCCACTTTCATGCAGAATGATAAGTAGTCCTCTAGGGCTCCTGCTTGCATCATTAGCATCCTGGAGGCATTAGGAAACCTGTGAAGTTCACCCCTACTGATTTGTCCCTCATTAATCTTATTCTGCCTTCTAGGAACTAGAGCTAAGCACCTTTCTTAACAATGCAGAATGCCAGTGTAAAGATCTGCTCTGGGGAGGTGTGTGTTCAGGGAAAGCCCTGGTAGGGGGATGAAGGAAAACATGGTTTTAGCATCAAAGACCAGGTTTGAGCACTTGCCCCCTTTTCCAGTTGTTGGCTGGAGCTGGATCACACTGGCTTATGAGAGCTGATTGTGCACATCTCTTTCAAGTTAGTGCTCGGAGAGCTCACAATGGTAGCTTAAAATTGGTTATTGGTTATTGTGGGAATATTTACACCATGGAAATTGGTAAGTGCTAAAAGTTAGGACCTTTTTTTTTTTTTTTTTTTTTGAGACTGGATCTCACTGTGTTGCCTAGGCTGGAGTGCAGTGGTGTGAACCTAGCTCAATGTAGCCTCAAAGTCCCGGATTTCCTGGACTCAAGTGATCCTCCCACCTCAGCCTCCTGAGTAGCTGGGACTACAGGCTCCTGCACCATGCCCAGCTAATTTTTTTTTCAACTTTTGTAGAGATAAGTTATTGCTATCAACTTAGGCTGGTCTTGAACTCTTAGCCTCATGTAATCCTTCTCACCTGGGCCTCCCAAAGTGCTGGGATTACAGGCATGAGCCACTGCAGCTGGCCACGCCTTTTATTAGTTTTATTATTTAGACAGCTTACTAGCACAACCTTGGCAATAGGGAGATAGTGAGAAAATCATGGTCTTTGGAACCAGGCAGGACCAAGTTCACCCTGACTCTGCTCAGCTGTTGTCTTTGAAGGGGATATTTTTTGAAGATACTGAAACTTCTGTGAACCTTAGTTTCCTTGTCTGTAAAAGTAAGAAATTTTAGTTTCCTTGTCTGTAAATTAATAACTAAAACCAAAATATTAACTACCTCAAAGGGTAGTGTGAGGATCAAATGAGGTGATGTCCACAGATTGCTAACTAAATTAAGCTCCTTCCCTTGGGGCACATAGAGAACAACTTCCAGGGAGAAAAAGAAAACACGCCTGAATTGCACCTTTTTGCTTTTAGCTGTGGAAAATATTCCCAGAAGCCTCACAGCCTTGCATCCTCATACGCTATTGGCCAGTTTAGCGTCACATGACCATCCCTAACGCCAATCACTTGGTAAGGGAAAAATGAGAGCCAAGCCACAGCTCCTGAGGGAGCCCTGGAGCCCCTGTTGGCCTTAGTGGGATTTTTAAAGCCCCCTAGATGGTTCCAGTGCGCAGTCAGAATACCAAACCAATGGCTGAGAGTTGAAGTCTCGGACAAAACCTTAGCCCCCGGGGGCTGGAGAAAGGTTCATTCTCTCCTGAAGGACAAGGATAGAGAACCAAGTCAGGGTTCCGGGAGTGTGGGGTTGGGGAGAAGGAAGGATCGCTGTTTATCAGGTAATGGAAAGTGCAGACTCAGTCTCCATTCCCAGCTACTGGACAATCGTGGGGCAAAGAGCTCAGTGGGAAAAATCAAAGGCATTAAAAATGGTTATTCTTAGAGATAAGGTGTATAACTGTTGGAAAGCAGAAATAAAGTATTGAATTAAGCTTTGAGAAATGGTTCTATAATAAGGGGTGGGAGGGAGAAAGCTTAAAAAGCTTTTGCAACTTATCCGAGAGGGTAAGACATGGCCAGCAGTACTTACCGAAGAGGACTGTTTGCCCTGTCCGTTCTGAAGCTCCTGTTACAGCCGTGAGTTAAGCCGTGTGAACACCACATGTGCTTATTGTAGACAAACCCTGCCACAAAGCCACAGGCACAGCACACTTCTCTGTTAGGTCTGTATCTCTTAGAATATTAGGACCCTAACTGGGATTCTAGCAGCTTACTTCCTGAGGCTCAGAGCTGCCTCCTGGATTCGGAGAACCTGTCAACACCATCTGCTGAGTATATAATGTGGACTGTGAGAAATACGGACTTGGAATCAGGGGACATGGATTTGAAACTTGATGCATTCATCCTGGGCCAGCTGTTAAACACTCCCAATCCTTGTTCTCTACCTCTATTAAATGACAATACTAATAACCATACCCACCTCATAAGATTGTGATGAAGATAGAAAAGGATAAGTTGGCTGGGTGCATTGGTTCACACTCCTTTTAATCCCAGCACTTTGGGAGGCCCAGGGAGAAAATCGTGTTAGGCCAAGAATTTGACATCAGCCTAGTCAACATAGCAAAACCTCATCTCTTCAGAAAATAGAAAAATTGGTCAGGTATGGTGGTGTGCGCCTGTAGTACTAGCTACTTGGGAGGCTGAGGTGGGAGGATCACTTAAGCCCAGGATTTTGAGGCTGCAGTGAGCTATGATAACACCGTTGCACTACAGCCTGGGTGGCAGGGCAAGGCTGTTTCTTTAAAAAAAAAAAAAAAAGAGAGAGAGAGAGAGAGACAGAATAACTTGTGAACTCTTAATTCTTAATACAAATTATATTTGGTTGAGAGATCAGTGTATCAGTATTTCCCCCATCTAAAGTTCCCATAGCCATCAGTCAAGGAAGAGAGGAGAAGAAGCACTTTCCAGTTCATCCCGGAGCAGGTGGAGTTCAGACCCTGCTGCTAAGAGCAGGCCCCCGTCTCTTCACTCCCCCTGCTTTATTCCCCAGTCACCCTCACCCTCATTTGATTTCATGTGCCAGGAAGGGATGAGGAAAATGGAACCAAGGATTTGTATTGTTTGTGTTTCCCAGCACAGTCTGTCTCAGAGGCAGAACATGAGAAGTCCGGAATTTCTCCCTGGTCGTCTCTGCACAGCCCCCGGTGCCACCTGTAAAGATTTCCATTCCAAGTGAAAGCCACTGCACTTCAAAAGCAGCAGAGATGGGTTCTCCTTCATGTTCCCGGTATGTGAGGGAGAGAACCAAACACCAGGGTCAAACAGAGACACTTCCAAACCTGTGCCTTATTTCTGGGGGGGAAAAAGAAAAAACACTGATTCAGTCTGGGACATGGTAGCTTTCTGTCTCAGAAAGCTGGGCAGGACCAGAGAAAGTGGCTTTGTGAAATGTGGGGACAAAGCTAGCTCAGGGCTCTGCTCTTTCTCAGCTGGCCATCCGTCAGGGGAATCAGGGCAGGCCTTCCCCTCCCAGCTGACTTAGAGCCACACAGCAGCTTCCACGTGATTCCATGGCCAGCGTGACAAACGCATGGCCTTGGCTGAGGAAGCACAAGTTCTGCGGGAAGGACTGGATCCCAGGTCCCAGGAGAGATAGCGAGACATGTTGGAAACACTGTTTCTGGAATCTTGTGCTTGACTGCTCAGGAATGTGTGGTCTGGGTAACTTTCTGGTTTGACTTACAGGAAGGTCTGATGGGGGCAGAGTGGGAATGTTGTAACAGCCCTAGATCACCTTGGAAAAATACTGTTCGCCTGCCAGCCCGGAACTGCCATTCCAGTAAGCAGCTGCTGGTGAATCAGCAACCTCCCCTTTCCTTGTGGATCCAGGAAGCACGTCTAGGGCCTCCCCCACCTCCTCTCCAGGAAGGGAAATGCCCACTAGCCATATACAGGCTCTTCTGGAAGGGATTAGAGATGGGGACTCCATGGCAGATTCTCCATTCTGCCCCAGTCCCTACCCCGCAACACACAAAGGGAGTTGGAAAAGGGAAGAGAGACCCCTAAGCCTCAGACTCAGGCTTTTGATGTAGAAAATCATACATCGTTTCTAAGTCTCTTGTCTGGAGTTCACAACAATAAAACTAGGTAGAAATCTCGACACGCTGGTTGGCATGGGTTACATTGGCCTCAACATAATGTCTGTCTCTTACCTGCAGAGCCAGCCTGGGGCTGAGAAGCTCACAGGAGGTTGTCGGTTGGCTCTGGTCAGGTGGCTGTTTGGGTATGAGGGCCATTTGTACTCAAGGTCAAGGAGCAGCCTCAGTAGGCCATTAGGCAGCTGGAAGAGTCTTGGGAAAACGTAGGGGAACCATAACGCCAGCTGTCCATTTCCTCCATGGGCCCTCTGGTGCCTCCGCCTGGGTGGAGAGTCTCTGCTTTCTGCCTTTCCATTGGCCAATCTCTGGCCTCCTCCTGAGGTTGCTGCTGCCCCTGGAACAACTTTGGGCTAGTGGACACAGCAGTTATGCCTCAATTTCCCTATAGCTACATGGAGCTAATTAAACAGTGGATGGATTTGGAGAGGTGGATCATTTCAGATTCGCTCCTGGATTTTCACCCCCACTTGAGAGAGAGCTAAATCTCCTTCTTTCTTCTTTCTCTCTTTTGCTCTTTTTCTGTGTGTGTGTGTGTGTCTGACTCACCTCTGTGCAGTTACATTTAAACACCAGTTTAGATCCCAATGACCCACATTCAGCCTTAGTGACTCTGAAGCAAGTCCATGCTCACTGATGACTCAGGAGAACTGGGGCCTTGAAAGATGAGCTGAGTCAATGAATGTGAGCTGTGGAGTTTTTACCACTCCCCCTCTCCCAATCCTTTTGTAATGTACCCACTCCCTTAGCTTTCTCTGAGCGTCAGTGTCCTTGGCCTTCCAGGGCTTGCGTGAGTACATGGAGGAATCAAGGGAGAGGTGGGTGAGATCACCACAACCACCCTCCTCAACTCTTCATCCTCGAGGCCTTTAGGACAGGTGCCCCCAGGCTCCATGGGAGGCAGGCAGCTGTGCAGGCTGCAGCAATGTGAACAGGGAAGCCGAGAGGAGGGTGTTGGGACAGGAGCCAGCTCTAAGCAACCTCCTACAGGTGATGGTTTTGGCTTCACCTGTTGGCCAGAGCCCTCCAGCAGAGAGGGGGAGTTTATATGCTACTGTGAAACTTCTAGATAAACCCAAAGTCGGGGTAGATGAAGGTAGAGGGAAGAGAAGGACCTCCCAGGGACCAGCCTCTGGAGCTCATTTCCTCCAGAAACAATGTCACCCTCCTTCCTCTCCTTTCTCTGCCTTTGCTCAGTTTCCATTAACTGCCTCTGTTACTTTTGGTTGTTTATGGTTAAGCCCAGTGGTTCTCATCAGCCACACCTGGAAACTTGTTAGAAGTATAAATTCTCAGACCCCATCCCGGGCCTACTGAATCAGCAGCCCTGGGATGGGGTCAGCAGATCTGTGTTTTAACTAACCCACCAGCTGATTCTAATGCCTGCTCAAGTCTGGGAACCCCTGGCCTCACCTCTCTCCCCAGTTAGGCTACTGCCTCCTAGAAAGTACTGACTTGAGAGGGCTTAGTATAGTCCTGGGCACCCAAGGACTCAGCTGTGCACAGAAACTGTACCAGGAAAGTAGAAAGAAGATTCAAGGAGGCAGTCTGGTCATGATCAGAGTTCGAACCCAAGGCTTAGGACCTGGGTTCCAGTTGGGTGACCTTGGCCAAGTCACTTCTCAGACTCCCCGGTTCCTCCTCAGTAAAGTAGATGGAAGAACTGGGTCTCTGGGATTTGGGTAGTTCTCATGTCTAGAAATCTGGATCTGGCCAGGGCCTGGCTCATGATTCCCCTCCTGCGTGTGCTGACTCTGCCCAGCCCCTGTGGAAGAGTCAGCATGCAAGGGAGGAATAATGAGGCAGGCCCTGTGCTTCTCCTGGTCCTCAGGCAGTTACTGTTTGTGAATGTGCGATGTGGAGAGGGAGAGATTGAATCTAGAAATGAATTAGAAACATATGAGGAGAAGCCAGAGCCTGCAACAGTAATGAAGCCCATCCTTTGAGTGTTTGCCCCTGGCGGGTTGAAGGCGGAGTCCCTCTGTCAGGAACTCAGTTGAACTGGGAGAGGGAGCTGCCAGGTGTCACAATAGTCAATTAAGGCAACCAGCCCAAAACAAAAGAATCAAGCTTTCAATCATGTCCTGCAATGGTATAAGCAAGTATCTGAAACCAGAGAAAGCGTGGCCTCTCCCTGTTCCATTTCCCCTGTGGAACACACAGGGGCCCAGGGTCAAGCAGGTCAGCGGGAATGTGGGGTTGGAGTGGTCTCACTGCTGACAGGGCCCTGAACAAAAGGCTCTGGAAGTTGTATGGACTCTGGGGCCAAGAGCAAGGGAGGGGGAAGGCTAGGAGTGGAAGTACTAGGTTCTGAGTCATTGTGGGGAAAAGTGACTTCAAGGTTTCTCTCCCTTCCCTGCCCCACCCAAAGGAGGCCTCAGCAGAGGCGCCTAAAGAACACCTCTCCCCAAGGCTTCTAATGAACCCAGGAATGAAGGCTCAGGGGCTAGGAATGCAAATATGTGATGACTGTGACCAGCCAGAGAGACCTGAGACCTTGAGAGCTCCCTCCAGAGACTGCCACGCATGGGCTGCGCTCCGGGTCTGGTGTAGGGGTCAGCTTTCCCTGAGTTTATGGTCAGGCCTGAAAAAACACACACAAGTTTTTCACCAGGAGGCCCAGGGAGATACTATGTGGCCTCTTCTCCCATCTACCTCTTCTGAGCCACCCTTTCCAGCTGTCAGGCAAGTATCAGGGCACCTACCTCTGCACAGAAGGGCAATGACTTTCTCCAGGTGGAAATCACTTTTCATCCAAATGTCTAGGCTCAAAGCTCCTGGTTCCTGCATTTTAAGCTATGGGTATCTCTGGGAAATAATAGAGAGGACTAAGTACAAACACCCATCGAGCCTTCACATTATTGGCACGTGTAAGATTCTGTTAGGTCAAGTGGCACCCTCCTTACCCTTTTTCTGAGGATGACCATGTGTTAATTGCTACAGATCAGAACTGTCTTCCTGAAAGTTGTCCAGGGCTGTGGGAAAAAAGTTGAATATTTCATGCAAGTTCTATTGACACTAAAGCTAACACTGAATCATTCACTTATCCCAGCCTATACTTTTTATTTTTTATTTTTTTCAGACAGCATCTTACCCTGTCACCCAGGGTTGATGGAGCAGCATGATCTTGACTCACTGAAACCTCTGCCTCCTGGGTTCAAGCGATTCTCCCACCTCAGCCTCCCGAGTAACTGGGACTACAGGCACATGCCACCACATCCGGCTAATTTTTGTATTTTTTGGTAGAGACAGGGTTTTGCCATGTTGACCAGGCTGGCCTTGAATTCCTAACCTCAAGTGATCTGCCACCTCAACCTCCCAAAGTGCTAGATTATAGGCAGAAGCCACTGTGCCTGGCCTAGCCTATACTATTTTCTTTATATTTTGTACTTACATGTCCTGTCTTTTCTATCAGATGGTAAGCTTCCTGAGGACAAAGATGATGTCTTACATGTGTGTATGGCACCCAGAGTATTTTGCTCTCAAATACGTACTGCTCAGATAAGCTTTCAGGATACAGAACCTCAGATACCCACAAAACTGTCTCTCCTAGTGTTGTCTGGAAATAAGTCTTGCATTTATTTACTTTTACATATAACTGTATCTTATCTTCCCAGGAAGATTGGAAGTATATTTATGTTTAAGGCATCACAGTAGCTGGCTCATCATTAGCTGTCAACAAGTAAATACTTCACCATTAGATTTCTTGGAACCGTCTTCACCAAGAGACAGAAAGTTAACTAGAACTAAAATTTTAATCCTCTCAAACTCCAAGAAGACCTGTTTCCCAGGCATGATCCAACAGAACCTCTGCTTTTTAGAGTCCCTTGGAGAGGTTATTTCTGAGGACAGCAAGCTAATAGGATCACCCCCCACCACCCTTTGCTTCAATTTGCCCTAGTACTCAGACTTAATTGGTGGGGACATGAGTCTGTGTATAAAGCGCTTGGAAAGTATTTGTTATTATTCATCAGGGCCACCATTTGAAATTGGCCAGCATAGTCATCCCTACTTGACCATAGTAATCAAGGCGTGGCTGCGAAAGAAGGAATGTGTGTTTCAACAAGCCAGAGAACTGGTCTTCTGCTTTCTAAATGGACAATTTATATAATTTAGATAGAGAGGCATCTTCCAATCTAGGCATGCACAACCCACCCCGCCGTCCCAGTACATTCTTCTCTTTCCTTACATCCCACCTGCCCCTCCTGCTTTTTTGAAGGTGAGCGAGCAGGTCCCAGGCTTACAGCTCGGTTGGACTGCGGTTGCCCCGTCTTCTCTGGTGATTTCTCTGTCTTATGGTCAGGAGCCAGACTCTGGGTCTGTTCAACTATGTAGAGGAAAGGTCACCAGAGAAATTCCAGTTTGGCATTCCTGTAGGGATCAGAGATTCTGACTGCTCAACAAAATTACCTGGAGGAGAATTTTAATAATATGGCTTCCTGGAACTTACCCGGAAACATTCTGATTCAGTCAGTCTGGGGTGAAGCTCAATTGGCTATCTTTTTCTAAATCTTTATAGATGATTCTGATGTACTGGCAAGTTTGGACATTGGATAAATTCTAAGCTCTTTGAGATCAGGAAACATATGAGTATCGCATTCTGTATCCCACAATGACTAACTCAGCACCTGGCACACAACAACACTTTAGAAATTGTTATTGAGTCAGTGAGCAAATGGATGGTTGAAAATAGGTTGGTGGATTGGGAGTACAGTCAACCTAGCATCTTTTAAAATAATTTTTAAATTGACAAATAATAATTGTACACACTTATGGGGTACATAGTGAAGTTTTGATATGTATCATGTACAGTAGGTCAGGGTAATTGGCATATCCATTATCTCAAACATTTATCATTTCTTTGTGTTGGAAACGTTCAATATCCTCCTTCTAGCTATTTGAAATTATATTCAAATATATAGATAATCATCCCACAGTGGTATAGAACAGTACAGCTTATTCTTCCTATCTAGCTGTAATTGTGTTGACTTTAACAAATCTCTCCCTATTCATCTCTTCCCAGCCTCCAGTGTCCTCTGTTCTACTGTTTACTTCTATGAGATCAACTGGTTTTATTAGCTTCCACATGTAAGAACATACAGTGGTTAACTTTGCCTTCCTGGTTATTTCATTCAACATAGTGTCCCTCCATTCTACCCGTGTTGCTGCACAGGACAGCATGATAGGATTTGATTCTTTTTTATGGCTGAGTCATATTCCATTGTTAAATACACACACACACACACGCCATGTTTTCTTTATCCATTCATTTGTTTCTGGACACCTGGTCAACCTAGCATCTTACCTAAAGGCTAGTTAAGGGCCAATGGAGGCAGAATGCCAAACCACTCACAGTGGGGCCAGGGACAGGAATAAGGCAGCAGTGTGCGGGTGGAAATAGAAGAAAACTTAGTTAATTTGATCCCCAAGTGGGAGAACATGACCCACGTCCTTGAAAATGCTGCTACTTTCAGCGATGCTGCCGCTTGCTGCCCCTGTGCTGAGACTTACAGGACTTCCGCTCTCCAGTCCCACCTAAGAAAGCAAATTGGATCCGTCACTTCCCTGTTTAGACCTTCCAAGGCCCTGCATTGTTCTCAGGATGAAGTCAATGCTCCTTTCTCTGGCTGAGTCCTTGCTCCTCCTCAGCCCATCACTGCTACTTGCCCTCATCTGTCTGTGCCCACCGGCCACCTTGCCTTCCTGCAGATCCTACCGCCTGCCATGTTCTGTCACCAGCCTCTGTCCTCTCTGCCTACAATGCTCATTCCCTGCCCCCATGTCCCCTAGCAAATTCCCATGCGACCATTACATTACAGCCTAAAAGCATCCACTTCTCTTTTCCCCGGGGGCTGCCAGTTCCCTGGGGTAAAGGTCAGTCTGTTGTGTCCAAATCCTAGCCAGTAGATGCTCCCATGTTTGTTGAATGAACAGAAGTTGGGACGGGAAACCAACAGACACTCAGGACTGGGGTTCGTTTTTGTTCCTGTAAAACTGGATTGATTCTGCAGAGGTACAAACATGCCCGTTGATTTAGATCTATCGAGGAATTGGGGTAGGGGCTGGGGTGGGAGTTTTGCTAAGAAGAAAAGAAGGTGAAAGTGGGAGATTCCACAAGAGACCAGATTGTCATGCCCAATCGGCCGCTAGGGTCAAAGACCAGCTCCCTGGTCACACTCGGCCAAGGCAGGCTGCCGAGCTGGCTCCAACCCTCAGCAAAGCCAGGCAGCCGCCCAGGTGGGTGAAGGCTGCAGGTTGCACTCAGGCGTGACGCCGGGGTGCAGGTGGGAGTGGCGCCCGGATGCGTGGGTGCAGCGCTCGCCCGCCCGCGGTCAGGCGCACCGCGGGAACCGGTCAGGTGCGCCGTGCGGGGCGGGGCGGAGGCAGGGCGTGCGCCCCCAGGCTGGTGCCGGGGGCAGAGGATTCGCCTGCTTGACGCGCTGATGCCTTGATTTGGTCTGACAAGTAGAGGCTGCTTTGAGAAGCGGCCTGGATTTTTGACATTCAGCAAGCTAGAAATAACCAGCTGGGCTCCTGGCGCTCTGGCCATAAATGTCTTGCTCTTTCCAGGCAACTGCCAGAATTAAGGGGCTTTTCCCCAGTGTAGACCTGTGCTCTGTCTGCTAGGAGGCCTAGGTTCCAGTCCAGGCTCAGCTTCTGACTCCCTACTTTAGGAGGAATCACTGAATTGACTGCAGCTCGGCTTCTGCCATGTAAAATGGGGCTGTTGCTAGCTGAGCCTCTTCTGCCTCTGGTAGAAAATGATTCCAAATGGCTGCTCTGTCCACCCTAATCCCATGGCCCGAACTTGATGTCTGCTGCTTCTAGAAGCCTAGTGCTCCAAATATCTGCTCTGGGAGGAACTTGCAGGTGATCCTGATTGGAAATGGAGCTGATTAACCTTTTGTGTTATCATTGACTCTGTGAGAATCTGTTGAAACCTAGGGGCTCTTACCCTCGACAAATGAACACACCAGCCAAATATAGCTTACAAGTGCAGAGAGCTGCTGGTCTGAACCACAGACCCCTGGTTTAACATCTGTAATCTAGTCAACCCCTCTTTTTCCTTGAAGACTGAACCAAGCATGAAGGGTTTTCCCCACCTTCCAATCCTCATACCTGCAGGCACCCCCTTTTCCTGCTTTCTCCCTTCAGTCATCTTCCTCACCATCCCCCATGCTTGGGCATGCTCAGGAGGGAAATTGTCCTATAAATATCTGTAAAAAGCACGGTATGTCCTGTAGCAGAGAAAGCAAAAAACAAAAAAAATAATTCCCCCACCCCTGGCGTGGCATGTGCAGAGCTCTGCCTGATCCTTCTCTCCCACAAGCCTGGGGAGTGGGTAAAACAAAGTGGGAGGTGAAGCTGCTGCAGCGAAGTGCCCCTTCAGAATCTTCAGTACCCTTCAGAGTCAGCGCTGTCATCACTATCACATAAACTGTACAACTCCACTGTCAACCAGCAGCTGCCTGGCTGGCAGCAGGAAGAGGCAATGCCATTTTGCACAGTAGCTTGCTTGCCCAAGGTATTGCCTGGCAAATGGGCTTCTTGTGCAATGGGAAACCACAGGGAGGGGACTCTTAAATGTACCCAAAAGAAACAGCTCTAACAATAGATGATTCAACAGGCTAGTAATTGGCACTCACTCTTACCACATTGTTTTGATAAAATGACATAGTCCAACTGCGGATATGAAGGCAGTAAATAGAAAAGCTAACCTCTTGCTACTCAAATCGTGGATGAGACCAGCGACATCCCATCAGCAGAAGCTTGATAGAAAGGCAGGCTCTGTACCAGACCTATTGAAAGGAGATCTGCATTTTAACAGGATTGCCAGAGGATTCACATCTTAATGTTTCAGAGGCCTAATCCAAAGTCTTCTGATAATGATCATTAGAGTCCCAGCCATTCCCCACTTCCCCCTGGGAAAACCACAACAAATAGACCAAATTCCTCCAAGCCGTGCTCATAAGAAGAACCCACAACCCACAGATACCCCCTCACTCAACTAGAGGCCCACCTGTTTGCAGAGTCACCCACTTTGGGCTATTATTCTTTTCTATTATTTAATCTTCTGGGAAGACAGAAGTCTTCTATCTGGAGATAAAAATGACAAAGGAGAACCTCCTGAACAGAATCCAGTTTGCCTTTAGCTTTAGCCATCACTCTGACCTAGTGCTGCTGGACTCAGTTCCAAGGTCTAACTGTCAAATGCTTTAGGGGAAATGGGAAGAGGAGAAGTCCCTGGAGTTACCCATGTGCACAGCCTGGCACTGTTTTCACTTGCCTTTGGAAATGAAGGTGCAGAAACCATGGGAGGTAAGGAAGGCACAGACTAGTGACTTCCAGAGTGGGACAGAAGGGAAAAGATGGAAGAGAAGTGCAGAAAACCACTCAGGAAAAGACAGGCTGGAGTGATGCCTGCTGAGACAGGGTCCTGATCTCCCAGGACTTCCCTTTCTGCCTGTTCTGTACAAATACCTAGGGTTTTGTGGTTTAAGAAAAGAGATGCTTAGCAAGCTTATAGAAGATGTAATGTGGGCACTTTGTTGCTGTCCTGGCTTTTAAAGGACTCAGAAGCAGATCAACTTCAAGGTGTTAGCTACTCTGTTTGTAGCCTTAGAAAGACATCCTTGATGTTTTATTGTTTTGCCTTTGCTCAGAGCTGGAAACTCTCCCTGGGGAAATGGCTCACCTTGAAAGAGATGCTATTGTAAGTGAAAATGTTTTAGCTTCACTTCCACTCTCTGGTTCCTTGTGGGAAGTAACTGCTGCTGTGGTATGTATGCCCTATGCCTTTTATTGCATCTTTACCTCGGTGGACACCGCTGGTTAAAACTTATGTTTCCATGGAGATTGATTCAGACAACAGGAAAAATAACTGCAAAAAAAAAACTGCACAGTACAAGGGCTAGATTCAGGTTGTAGAACAAAGTGATTATTACTTAGAATCCTGGATTAGCAAGAGAATCAGAAAGATGCTGAGATTATCTAGTGTTATCACCATCCACGTGAAATGCAGAATAAAACTTTTTCCCCATGACCTAGATATTGGGCAGTTTATTATAGATGCTACAAAGGGATTTATTATGTTTTTCCCAAAATGGTTAATTAGAGGCATCCCAAATTACAACTCCTTTAGCATAACTCCCAGCTCCAGGCAGCCTACTTACTATGGGCCCAGCTACTGACAGCTCAGCTCTCTTTGCCAATCCAACTTTTTTTCCCAAAATGCTCAAACTTTTCTTCTCCAAGAAGACTTCCTGAATGATCCCAGTTCATAGGGATCTCATCCTTAATGCAGGGGAAATTCACTGTTCAGGAATAGTCTCCATACCATCACACTCTTCTTTTTGTGTAGTCATGGAATTCTTCTCCAGTTTTTTTTTTTCTTGCCTGTCTACACAGATAGATCAGTAGCCTTCAATAGTCTGCATCTCCTGTTATCTTGCAGCCTCCTACTATAAACAGTAGGTGCTTTACTTATGCCAGTTGGGTTGACCTAGACAGTAGTCTCTAAGTAGCAGGTCCTTGGCTCATCCATCTGAAACCAACGACCTCTTAGGCAGACTGAGAAAGGGTTAGGACTGTTGACACTGGGACATCCTTGACTCTGTATGAATGTTGTTTTTAAAAGCAGGGGTTTTGTCTCCAGGGCATTGAAGAGATAAAACCCCATTGTCAGCATATTTCTTCAGGGTCTTTCTGTGTTAAATCTCACTGCCAAGTCAGAGTCCCAACACACAGACTCTCACTTTTCCCTGTGCAATCCCCAGCAACAGGCAGAAGTGAAGCAAGTAGTAGAATGTGCTCAAATCATGGCCTATTCTTAATAAAAGAAACCAGGATGGCTTGGGGGCTGGCTCATTTCTTCTCAAATTCCCCTAGTGTTCTGAACCAAACATACGAAAAGAGTAGATTTGTTTTATTCACAGGTATTAATGCTTCTCCGAAAGCAGTTGTTTGGCTGGCTGGAATATCAGTAGTCATTGACCAATAAGGCTTGCAGGTGTGAATCAGACTCTGGACTTCCAGAGTAGGGCTACTATCTACTACTCTACATCACCTTCATCCTTACAGAATCACTGAGATCATTCATTCATTCACAAGCAGTCATGTCTGCCGCCTGCCAGGCACTTGTAGTAGGCATTAGAGATACAATGGCAAGTGAAACAGACACAGCATGTAATCTACTGAGAGAGACTGGGAATTAATTCCATAAGTAAAAGCATATAATTATCAATTGTGATAAAGGCCCTGAAGCAAAAGAATAGGATGTTCTGCAATAATATTACAAGAGCTTTATCTGATCTAATGTGTAGGGGGAGGGGAAGCCTCAGGGAATGCTTCTCAGGGGAAGTGACATTTGAGCTGAGCATTGAAAGAAGAATAAAAATTAAAAAGTAAAGAGGGGGCCAGGTGCGGTGGCTCACACCTGTAATCCTAGCACTTTGGGAGGCCGAGGCAGATGGATCACTTGAGGTCAGGAGTTCAAAACCATCCTGGCCAAAATGGTGAAACACCATCTCTACGAAAAATTCAGAAAAATTATCTGGTGGCAGGTGCCTGTAATCCCAGCTACTTGGGAGGCTGAGGCAGGATAACTGCTTGAACCCGGGAGGCGGAGGTTTCAGTGAGCCAAGATCGCACCACTGCACTCCAGCCTAGGCAACAGAGTGAAACTCAGTCTCAAAAAAAAAAAAAAAAAAAAAAAAAACAAAGTGAAGAGGAGTTAAAGAGTGCTCAGGATACAAACAGTTAGTTCGTTGGAGGAAGTGGAGTAAAGTCCTTGTGGCTGGATTAAAGGGAACAGGGAAAACCAAGATATACAGAAGTAGGCAGGGGCTGGATCACATGTACACACAGTGTTGAGGACTTTGGCTTTTATTTTGGAACAGTGGAAGGCCGTTTTAAGCAGAGGATGAGAACATTAAATTTATGTGTCCAGAGATTGCTCTGATGAGACAAGCGGTGAACAAAAACATCATTACTCAGGTCTCATCCAACTCTTCCATTGTATATTCTAATAAACCACCCAAGTTCTGCTTTCATAGCTCTGAGCCAAAGTGAGTTATACCTCCCCAGGCCCACTGAAAATCCCAGAGAGCTTACTGAATGGCATGGGGGCCCTGGTAAAACTCACTGTTCAGGCATTTGAATCTGGGCCACTTCATTACTATCAGCATTTTGCCTCCACTCCCAAGGAATAAATCCTTAAAATTATAACCTTTGAGTCCCCATGCCCAGGCAGGCTCGCTTCTGTTGGATCACAGTAATCATGGTTTTGACTATGAATTGCCAATCCCAAATTAAATGATTAACCCAAGGTCAATGAGCTAGTCAGCTGCCACACCAAGGACAGATTTTCAATTCCCTGCACTCAAGGCAGATGCACTCCTCAGGACTGCTGTCAGAGGCTTAGAAAAAGAAAGTGTTCCATGTTCCCAAAACATGTAAACTTATTCTTTGATATTCATGTTTATTCTGTGACTCAGAAGTTCCCAGGATCATTTTCTGGGGTGATCAGAAAATCTCTTTGAGGGGGAAATGGCTCCTTACTTGAAAAGTGTTTTTAGCCAAGTTGGTTCTTCCGTAGCTATGAGCATCCTTTGAGGATGATGCTGGCTTTCTTGTGGGCTGCTCCACCTTGCTATTTCCTGAAGCTACTGGAACAGTTGAAACAGGCATATGAATAACCCCTGGGTTGCCAAAAAGACACCGCAATCCTTAACAGGTTTTGATCTGAAAAGGAGCGGTTTGTTCACTTGATTTGCTTTACGAATTTTGCAACATTGGCAGGTTGTGCCTGGGCCTTTCCCAGCCCTCTCTGCAGAAATGAGAACCAGGATTACTCATCCTTCTGTATTTTAAAGGAATTCCAGGAGTGCTCAGACAAGCTGCTGAAAAAAAAAACTGTTGTTATTTGACAACTTCTGAGCATGGATGTTTCAGGGCCCAGTAATGCCATGAAAATAGAAATGGCCCTTGTGCCAGAGGTAGCATTCTACTTCCATCAGGTGAGGTGGCAAGGCACGCAGGGTTGTTGGGGTGGCTCCCCGAAAGAGAGGCTGCTGGAAAAATTGGACCTACATGCCCAGCTTTGTCCTTGCAGGCAGAGCTCCTCCTTCAACCCGCTTCTCACTCTATGAACTGATCTGTCCTGACAGCTGCCAAATTAGTCCTCTCATTCCTGGAGCTCGCTTTGGCACTCTCACGAATGCTTCTTTCAAAGTCCACTCTTCATTTAAAACGTTGCTCAGCCTTACTTCAGGGGTGAAATAAACGGCCTTAAAATTTTTCATAGAAAAGCACAGTTTCAACCAGCAAATAGGTTCCAAAGAATATGTAAATTATGGTGCTAGAACTTCCCCACCAAATTCAAATCTGTATTTGGATATAAGTGTTCTGTAAACAATTCTGAAGAACACAGACGTCAGAAGCAATTCCATGATGCCTGTTACCGTCTTTCTGTAATTTTTCAAATTTTGTTTTATTTTAAAATGACAATCATTGTATATACTTATAACATACAATGTGATGTTTGGATATATGTATACATTATGAAATGATCATATGAGGCTCTTCACATATCCATCACCTCACATACTTCTCAGTTCCTTGTAGTGAAAACATTCGAACCCGTTCTTTTAGCAATTTTGAAATATACATTATTATTAATTGTAGTCACCTTGCTGTGCAATTTTCTTTCTGACCCATGCACTATCAGAATATCTTTTCTGTTTTATTCCTCCAAATTGGACCAGTCCCTCTGTTTGGGTCTAAGACCATGTTGGCCAAAAAGCAGAATCTAAATCCAGTCTAGAGTCTGATGGGAATAAAATGATGTGCTCCTCCCTCAGTTACTGACTGATCATCCCATCTGTCACCAACTGATGCGGTGGCCCTGGACAAACCACCTGACTGCTCTGTCCTCACTGTCTTTGTTTGCAGGAAAATGATAATACTACTCTTACGTGCTCACAGAGTTCTGGTGAAACATTTTTAATATGCAGTATGTGGATGAACTTTGCAAAGTTTAAAAATGGTATAGAAGTATAATCATGTTATTATGTGAAATAGTGCTCTCCAACCCATTCTCTCTATTCTCCCTGGAAGACAAACAAACAAAAGTCGTGCCAAACTAAGCATTTGTGATGGCAGGCCTAATTTACGTCTTGTCCAGTGTGGAGAAAGCTGGCACTATCATGAGATCCATCCCCTGGTCCCTAAGAATAAACACACTCTGCATCTCTGCATCTCTGCCTTGTGTTTGCTTCCTTGCACTGTCTCCATGGCCTGTACCTCAGGTTGGGGTTAGGGGAGAAGTCAGTACCAATTCCTGGAGGCATAGTCTGTTGAATATTTGCATAAATTCCACCAAACGTTTTGGCCTGGCTGCCAATTTTTGGAGGGCTTGAAAAACAGTTTTGTGTGTGCACTGACTCTCACAGTGTCTGTCTTACACTGTAAATTACTGAAGACAGAAACCAGTCCCTGCCATTCTTTTTTAATGATGCAGTGATTTCCAGACGTGAGTAAATGCTTCTAAGGGCAAAGGGCTGTGGTTACACAGCTGTCACCAAATAGCTGGCATGTCTGGGGTGTGGTTCTCCATTTCTCTGGACCTCATTTTTCTAAGTTGGAGGTATTCAAATACCATTCGGTGAAACCCTTTGGTAGAGGTGGTATTATTATTATTATTATTATTTTGCATTTTTGGCATCTGTATAAAGTTTGAGCTAATAGAAAAAGTTTAAACACTGCTGCTTTCAGCACTAATCCTCTAATGCTCCAAAAATTCTACCAGAACCCCCACTGATTGCTTTATGAGATATTTATTTTCATGCAGTCCAAATTTTTCTTCTTTTTCCTTAAAAGCTAATAAATGTGAGGGAATAGTGGTTAGAAAGTGATTATGGCAACGGGCGCGGTGGCTCACGCCTGTGATCCCAGCACTTTGGGAGGCCGAGGCACGCAGATCACGAGGTCAGGAGAGCAACACCATCCTGGCTAACACAGTGAAACCCCGTCTCTACTAAAAGTACAAAAAAATTAGCTGGGCGGGGCGGCGGGCGCCTGTAGTCCCAGCTACTCAGGAGGCTGAGTCAGGAGAATGGCGTGAACCCGGGAGGTGGAGCTTGCAGTGAGCAGAGATCGTGCCATTGCACTCCAGCCTGGGCGACAGAGCGAGACTCCATCTCAAAAAAAAGAGAGAAGACAAGAGAAGAGAAGAGGAGGGGAGGGGAGGGGAGGGGGGAAGAAAAAGGAGAAAAGAAAAAAAAGAGGTTATGGCCCTGATGTCTGGTAGATCAGGGATTCTCGACTTGATCCACTCAGTCTGGAAAGATTTTCTATAGGAAGTGGTGACAAGAGGGGTTTGGTCACATTAAATGGGAACCAGGACTGGAACCCTCATAGCCTGGCTATCTTCCCAAAGAGTACAGGCAGAAGATAGAAAATTGCAACTAACTCCTGAGCCTCTATACTAGCCAGTAATGAAATGTGTACTTCTAGGATAGGTCCTATGTTCTGTCTTCCGAAGTAATCTTGATTAAAATAGACCAACATAAATGAAGAGATGGACAATTCATTAAAAACCTAAACTCCTATCTTCTAAAAGTGGCATAATTTGCTGTAGTCTTCTGGCTGTCAATAAGCTGTGAGTGCCATTGACCCAAATGTTGCTGTCTTAGCCAGGTAACAAAGGACCAAGACTAAATTTGGTGGGCCAGAGAGAGTGGCACCCCATAGGAGGCCCCCAAAGGGAATCTGCTGCAAAATGGGTAAGGTCCTCAAACAATCCACCTGGCCTACCCCACTCTGCCCACCATTGTCCGCTGGGAAAGTGGGGATATCACACATCTAGAATCCATGTTCACTTCTTCCATCTCCAGCAATTATTCTCTACCATGCAACCCTCCCAAGGCCCCCAGTCTAAAACTCTCTCCAAACTCAAAAGGTTTGTCCAACAGAGAGATCTTGTGAACACATTGGGACTAGTAGGTTTTTCTGAAACTATCCTTAAAGCTCTTCTCGAGACCACGTGTTGATACTCTGTCTCTTTTCTCATCTCTCTGTTTCTCCCTCCACCCTCTCTCTTCCTCTTTGGTGATCCCACAATGTTTGTCCCTATGTCTGCTCTCATCCTCCATCACAGAGTCTTTCTACATAGTGCTGAGCGCCTGGAAACAATCTCTCAGTAATGTGTTGTCACTTTAGCACTCTCATGAAGTCAAGAGGCAGATTTCTCAGGAAACATTTAAAAGGAGATTGAGTGTCTCTGTTGTGAATTATGGCACATGGAGAGAAAAGTCAAAACAGAGTATTATAATAGGCTTAGAGAAATCCCAGGACTGAAGCTCCTTAAATATGCTTTTATGACCTAGTTGGAATGTGGCACAAGTTGTCTTTTTGGTTCATTTGTTTAAAACAATTGTGTGACATCACTGTTTAGTCCTTGGCCTATGTTTATCCCCAAGGCAATTGCTAATGAATGGTGCTGGCAACTATAAGACACTGTTCTGTATACAACAGATATCATGGTCAACTGTGCTAATTTGCAGAACATCCCGTTTTCTCAGACTACAGATTTTGTTTTATCTAATCAGTGAGATGGAGAACCTTTAGAAGGGAAATTATGACTGGTAAATCAGCATCCTTTTAAAGGTCAGAACTATTTAGATTTTAAAATAAAATCTTTTAGCACTAACTACACCTTACAGGTTTTTAAACTTCTAATTTTGAAGTAATTTCAAACTTATAAACAAATTACAAAAATAGTATAAGAAAAACTCCTGTATACCCTTCACCCAGATTCACCATTTCTGGGATAACTGTTACCACATTCACTTTGCTTCTCTCTGGATATGATCACCGTCATCATCATCATCATCTGATCCATTTCAGAATAAGTTTCAAAATATTTATCCCTATATATTTTGTGTATATTTTCTAAGAACAAGACATTCTGTTACTGTAAAATGTAATTACCAAAATCAGGAAATGTAATATAATACTATTATCTAATCTACAGATCTTGTTCAAATTTTGTTAGTTACCTCAAAAATACTCTTAACAGCGTTTTTTGTTTTGTTTTCTGTACCAGATCTTGTGATATGAGGAACTTGCATTGTCATTTACTTCTAAATATTTTATCATTTCTTTTGTGAATTCCTCTTTAATCCATGTTTTAGAAGATTTTTTTTTACTAGTTTCCAAACATGTTGTAATTATTATTTTTAACTTCTTTTCATTGTTGATTTCAAATTTCATTGCACTGTAGTCAAAAAACAATGGTCTCTATGACAGTTCTTTCACTCTTGTGGAGACTTCTTTTGTAATTTTAATAGGAGGTAAGAGGTAAAAATGTATTTGAATCTACTGTTGGGTATAAGGACTTTTTAAAATATATATCTGGTAGATTTGTTGTTGTTTAAACCTTTTCAGTTCTTGCTAAACTTTCATTTTACTTGATCTCGGTAATCTACACTACCATTGGAGGTTGGTGATTTCTCCTAATTCTCTCAGCTTTGACTTTGTGGTTTTCAGAGTTATGCTATTAGCTGCACACAAGTTCATGAATATTACGTCTTGGTGGATTGTTGCTTCTATTATTATGTAGAGGCTTTTGCCTTAAATTATATTTAGCCTGATATTAATATTGATATACCAGATTCTTCTTTATTATTATTTGTATGAGACCCCTGTTTTATTTTATTTTATTTTTTTACATTCAGATTTTCTCTTTGGTTTTGTTTTCATTGTGTGTCTTATAAGAAGCACGTATACCTGG